TCCTCCAACCATGCGACTCCACTGTTTGCAGGTAATTCCGTATTCAGTGAAGACAAGGAGACTCTCCATGTGAGTAAAACTGGTCAGATATAGAAGTCTTGGTACTGAGTCCTGCAATGGAGACCAGAAAATGATGCTGAGCCATTCAGGGTAAGAGTCAGACTTGGGTGTAAGCAAATAAAACAAGCACAGAAAACCCTCTGGGGCAGACAGAATGGCTGCGGAGAAGATGCTGTAAAGATGGTTCTGAGTTTCTTATTCATGTAGCAAAAAGCCTCACACTGGAGGCTTTTTGTGAAAGTCTGAGGAAAATGAAAAGCAACTTCTTGTGATTCTTTTTCTTGTTTTGGGGTGCATGTGTATTCAGACATCCTTTTACCATGCATGGTGTCCTCTGGAGGTTCGCAGATTGCTCATAGTTTTCAGCAGTGTGGTAAATACAGCCTCTGTATTGTCCCAGAAGCACTCTGGTGCCACTTTCACAAGTACTCTGTGGCAGGGTCTGACTAGGCACTCCAGTTTTCTCTTGCAGAAGAACATTTGCTGAGTAGCTGTACGGGGTCAGGACAAAAGTCTGGATAGGGCAGTATCCTTCCTCTGAAAATGGCCAGAAGCAGAAGGGTTTGGGGAAGAATAAGAGGAGCAGGGCATGTATATATGATATTCCTCCCAAGTACTCCTCTAGCTTCTAACAGTCAGTGTCTTAGGATCCCGATATAGTTTCAATCTACTTAGAGAATCATGCCAAAGTCCCACGCTCCTAATTGAACTTCTACCTGTGGGAGACCTCGGCTGGTCTGAGGGATCAAAATACAAGTTTAACACTGACCCTGAACAGATACCCATGTACCCTTGAGGAGACAGAAGAATCCTGAGAAGATCCGAGCAAACAAGATAAGGGGTGGCAAACATCCTGGCTTTTCCCAGAGCATGAACAGTACGTGATCAATTGTATTGGCTGAATGGTGTGTGATGTGAGAGTGGATTGGGCAAAAGGAGAATGTTAGAATATATCCACAGAGAAGCATCCAGCTAAGAGGATATAAAAGAGCACTGCTTGTAAAATAAAGAGGATGATTGCTGTAACTGTATATTGAGTGTCGTGTCTGTCTCTACAACGACATCTACCCACAGAACCTGGTTTCGGTCAGTGACTGTCCTGTTAGTTCCTTAACAGTAACTGTTTTTATTTTAAAACCCTACAACTACTTAATCTTCCTGTGGGGAAAAAAAAAAACACAAACAAACAAAACAAACAATCCCACCCCCCACCCCCGGAAACAAACCCACCATGTTTTTCATGCAACTTGAATGTTTGGTATTTGAGGGAAAGAAGTGTTAAGAATCCAAGTTTGGAATTGCAAATATTATCATATATAATAATGTGTGATAAAAATGTTTAAGCCTGTGCCACCTGTAGGCTGTGAGAATGATTGGGAAGAGAGCAGGTACTGATACATACCTGATAACAACACAGTAGCATGTCACATATGGGGTGAAAAAAAGGGCAAGTCATCATGTGGACTATCTCCTGATGGGTCCTCATCAGCCCACCCATCACCATCAGACACCTGGTTGAGCAAGATTAGTTTGGTGCATTATGCTGTGTCACTGATGTTGCAAGAGTTACATCTCATCTGTTACTCTGCTGAGACTAGAAATAGCAAGCTGTTGGGAAAACGATTCCTAGCAAGAAGCCTTGTTCAGATGTGTTACCCAGCACGCATCCATCTGCCATGAGTATCAATGGCAGCCACTATCATCATCAACCACAGGAAAAGAGTTCAGAACAGTGAACAAACACTCATCTGTGGGGCTGCAGGTGGACTCCCTCAGTGATTACCAGTAAGACCCCACCATGCCACTCATTGCATGGTCACTTTGCCTTGCCACAGGAGGAATGTGTACCCATATGAAATGGTTAGAAGAAAAGTTCCCCAGGTGTGCGCGTCCTGATTAAGATGAATTGTTATGTTTACTAGCCCTGACAGCATGTTGGGCTTACCTCCCCTTGTCTGGATATTCAGCCTCCAGGAGCCTAGCACTGCATTCATTGTACACCTCTACAGCCATAAGAAGAGGCAGAAGAGGCCGCAACTGAGAGGGTCTGTTTTGCCTATGCAGAAACATCTGCTCCTCTCTGCCAGTCGCTGGGTGTTAGCTGTTTTGGAGGTGCTCAGTGAGTGAATCACTGGGGACACCCAGTGCAGTGTGTGTGCACTTAGAATCATAGAATCGTTTGGGTTGGAAGAGACCTTTAAAGGTCATAAAGTCCAACCTCCCCTCCAATGAGCAGGGACATCTTCAACTCAATCAGGTTGCTCAGAGCCCTGTCCAACCTGACCTTCAGTGTTTCCAGAGATGGGGCACCTACCACGTCTCTGGGCAACCTGTGCCAGCGTTTCACCACCTGCATTGTAAAAAATTTCTTCCTTATACCTAGTCTAAATCTTCACTCTTTTAGTTTAAAGCCATTACCCCTTGTCCTATTGCAACAGGCCCTGCTAAAAAAATGTCCCCATCTTTCTTATAACCCTGCTTTAAGTACTAAAAGGCTACAATAAGGTCTCCCTGGAGCCTTCTCTTCTTAAGGCTAAATAACCCCAACTCTCTCAGCCTGTCCTCATAGGAGAGGTGCTCCAGCCCTCTGATAATTTTTGTGGCCCTCCTCTGGACCTGCTCCAAGAGGTCCATGTCTTTCCTGTGCTGAGGGCTCCAGAGCTGGACGCAGTACTCCAGGTGGGGTCTCACCAGAGTGGAGTAGAGGGGCAGAGTCACCTCCCTCGACCTGCTGACCATGCTGCTTTTGATGCAGCCCAGGATACAATTGGGCACACATTGCCAGATCACGTCCAGCTTTTCATCCACTACAGTACCTCCAAGTCCTTCTCAGCAGGGCTGCTCTCAATCCCTTCACCCCCAGCCTGTATTGATACTGGGGGTTGCCCTGATCCAGGTGCAGGACCTCATGAGGTTCACACAGGCCCACTTCTCGAGCCTGTTCAGGTCCCTCTGGATGGCATCCTGCCCCTCAGGCATGTCAACTGCAACACTCAGCTTGGTGTCATCTGCAAACTTGCTGAGAGTACGCTTGATCCCACTGTCTATGTCATCAATGAAGACATTGAACAGTACTGGTCCCAGCACTTCACTGCACTGCATCCCTGTTGGACTTGGCAAAGCTACATGCCCGTCACTGAGAAAACAGGACATCTTGTTGGCTCCCACCTTTTTGTGGGAATAACCTGCATGAAAGAAAAGAAATAGCCATGGGACTTTATGAAGTTTTGCCTCCCAATAGGATTCGCAATTTTTCACTGTTTTTGATCCCCAAAGGGCTGGATTAATTATACTCAGATGCTATTATCTCACTTTTAAAAACAAAGGAATTATGAACAAGGAGGTCTGTGGCTACTCAAAGCCGTATGGGACACCTAGGTGAAAACAGAGATCCAAATCCTCACCTTGGCTCAGGACAGCACTGTAACTAATAGATGGGTATGCCCCTCCCTTGCTCCTCCTCACCACCTTCCACTCACCCACAGGTTCTCCGTGGCCACTGAGAAATTGCAGATTTCTAATTCCACAACATCAAGCAAAAAGCTGCAAAAAGGAATAGACGTGTGAGATTTTTTCTCAGCAATGTTTAGGAGCGAAGGGGATGAGGACAAGACACACAAGAAGTCCAGAGAGCTCCCCAGTCCTGGACCAGACCCTCACCTCAAAGTGAAGCATGGACCTTGCTCTCTGTCCCAAACAGAACATGGGGCTGATGCTCCATAGCAAGAAAGCACCTAATTCGAAAACATCCAGATTCACTGTCTTTGCTCATTATGTACCTTTCTGGGCAACAGTGAGGATATGTCATGTGCACACATGTGATCGAGTGTGTGCATGTGTGTTTTCCAGTTAATTCTTCCAGTTCTTGTGGTGATTTTTTTGGTCCCTCTGAAAGGACAACCAGCATAAGAATGACATTTTGCAATCAAATGTTGAATGCATTTTTTATTTAAACATTGAGATTAAATTACAAAAGCTTCTGGAACAAAGAAAGGATGCCAAGGAGGAAAGAGCTGAAAACTCAGATTGCATTTTCTCATTCATTGTGAAAGCAAAACACATTGGCAGCAGCAAGGCGTTTTATAGAAAAGTTTCAGATGGACAGTACAAAGACCTTTCTGTCAATATTGTCACTGAAACACCTTGCTGTCATGAAGCACATCTTTTTTTTTCTGATCACACTTCTTAGTGTTGGCTGATTGGTTTTCACTGTGGGAAACAAGTAATAATTATTTCAGAATTACTGTAATTCTTTACTGTTATTCTCTGCTAATATAACGCAATCTTCTTCTTGGGAAAATGCCCAAACATCATTTACTTTACCCTAATAAAAATGTCTACTGCTGTTGTTAAAAGTTTTATTTGCACAAGTATGTTCCTAATCTATGTTAATTTCATGCAATATATCTCTAATTTTTGGAATAAATACTGAGAATCATTAGAGAAATTTCCTTGGAATGCAAAATCCAAACAAACTTGATATTTTCTTTTAAGGGCAAAATTCCACCACCTTTATTTACACAAGTAGCATCTTGCTCCTTATGTTACTTCACTGCACGCTAGAGGCTCAAGCAGTGAAAATCAGCGTAGCCCCATTAGGATTTACTGCATTGTGTTAACTTCTAATGAAACTTGGGCTGAGCAGTTTCACCTGTGGAGTAATGCGCTACCTATAACCAGTAAAGGTGCTCAAACATAGCCCTACACTTAGTAATTTGGCACATTTACAACTGACGTTACTCAGTAACCTATCAGATGACAATAGTGGAGCTCTTCTGTAAAATATAGGTTAAGCCTACATTTGTATGACTGTACATCTGAAGTATAAAAACCACGATATGTAGTACACTTGAACAGTTAAAAAATATAACTTATTTTATTTGTAAACTATCAATGCAAGATACTCAGCAGCAAAGAAGCCATGTTCAATGTCTTCTGATCTTTTATAAAGATCTGTTGCTGTAAGTAATATAATCGTCTCGAAACATCTGAGGTTACATGTAGAAACAATCAAGGCAATATTATTTGTACATATTATTAAACATGCAAAAAACTTCCTGAAGAATATTGCCCAAATGTAGAAAGTCGTCTGGATCTCAAATTTTCCTTGGTAGCATCTGCTTTGTAAGTATGGCTCACATGTGGCTTTAGAGTCCTTCAGTTTATTTTGGAGAATTGGCACCTTTAATAACAGGTTCCCTATTCAAATATGTGGCCCAGTAAACTAAGTTAAAAGTTCCAAACAGCACTGGAAAAATTATCCGGGACATTTTGTCAATCTTACTGATGCTGTTGTAAGTCTTTTTGCTTTCAGCGGGCTTTTCTTCTGCAGCCTTCACTGGAGCAGATGCAGTGTTTGAGATGACAGATGGGGCTGAGTCCTTTGGCATGTTTGGTGCAGGGGTCAACTTCCCAGTGCTGTAAGTATTAGTTGATTTATTTCCCATCAATTCACGTTCTTTTTTCTGCAGTGTAAAGAACAAAATGTTAGACCACAGGAACACGTTCTCAAGATATTAACCCAAAAATCCAAGTACCATAATCAATCATACTAACAAATGCATGTTGGCTATTCTGACTTTGACTCCCAAACAGCTGTTTCCGCCTCGATTTTATAGCCCTTACTCAGGTTAAACTTTCCATGACGCCAGAGAAAGCTAAGAGCGGCCGGCCGGACCCAGATCCCACCTGGCATGTGCATTAGCAGCTTCTTTTGTCAGGGCGATGCAGTCCTGCACCTGCAGAGGTTGCTGCCCCATGGGCAGCTGCCAAGATGCCAACCTCACCCTCTTGGCTGCAGCAAGGAGCATCGTGAAGGGCTCATTGCTCCTGCTAGCTGCCCTCCTTTGTGGCACTCCTTCAGGACGCCTGCGGGTATGAGCTTTCTCAAGGAGATCATTTGCCAAGAGCGAGTCCTATTCCAAAATTTTCATTTCAGTGTGAAACTCAGAAGTTCAGGCTTTCACAGAACTCCTCTTTTGTCTCTTTTTCATTTGGAATACGCTGGTGGGACCCTGACTCATGGATCACAGAATCACAGAATCTCAGAATCACAGAATCTTCAGAGTTGGAAGGGACCTCTAGAGATCATCTAGTCCAACTCCCCTGCTAAAGCAGGATTGCCCAGAGCACATTACTCAGGACTGCATCCAGGCGGGTTTTGAAGATCTCCAGAGAAGGAGACTCCACAACCTCCCTGGGCAGCCTGTGCCAGTGCTCTGTCACCCTCACTGTAAAGAAGTTTTTCCGTGTGTTGGAACGGAACTTCCTATGTTCCAGCTTGTGCCCGTTGCCCCTCGTCCTGTCACTGGGAACCACTGAAAAGAGTCTGGCTCAGTCCTCCTTCAACCCACCCTTTAGATACTTGTATGCCGTAATAAGGTCTCCCCTCAGCCTTTTCTTCTCCAGGCTAAGGAGTCCCAGCTCTCTCAGCCTTTCTTCACAAGGGAGATGCTCCAATCCCTCAATCATCTTAGTTGTCCTATGCTGGACTCACTCCAGCAGTTCCCTGTCCCTCTTGAACTGGGGAGCCCAAAACTAGACACAGTATTCCAGTTGTGGCCTCACCAGTGCCGAGTAGAGGGGGAGAATGACCTCCCTCGACCTACTGGTCACACTCTTCCGTATGCAGCCCAGGATTCCATTGGCCTTTTTGGCGACAAGGGCACATTGCTGGGTCATGGATAATTTACTGTCTAACCAGGACCCCCAGATCCTTCTCCTCAGAGCTACTTCCCAGCAGGTCCACCCCTAACCTATACTGGTGCCTAGCATTCTTCCTCCCCAGGTGCAGGACCCTGC